CTGGCGAGGTCGACATGTCCAATTTTCTCATTAGCCTCGTAAGTTTCAGCCTATAATTAGACCTGGCTCCTTCATATTCCTGTCCCTGAAGCCGTTCTTTTTTAGGCCAAGACCTATCGAATCCTTTATCAAAAAGAGAAGGCGGTCGCTGTGCTAAAAGAAATGAATGACAAAGTGGAGTCCAGTGTAAGTTAAACTTCCCGCCTATTTGCGCAGTTACCGTCTACTGATTCATTGTTTGGGCTTTGTCTTTGGCCATCGGGATATACACAATTGAATTTAATTTAAATATCTCACCGGTGATGTGGAATGATTGCGATAATCCTGCTTGGTATGCATACTGAAATCAGACATTGGTAGCTTAATTCTACCAATGCTACCCCGCTATATCTCGAGTTTAATTGTTTGTTTCATCTTAGACATCAAATTATTTAGCAAGTAAAATGTTCGCTGGGAAAATGATATTAAGAGAGGGGCTTTCGGTCCCTGGTTCCATTGAGATTCGTACTAAGGTTGCTACCGCTAACATCACTACGGCCATTATCGTCAGCGCCTCGTCCGTAATTAATATACTTTCCGTTGTGTCCTTTATCACGATAAATACTTTCCCTAACAACATGCTATCCTCGCAAACACTACTGCAGTCAAATTTATCGAGTTTGGAAGCCAACATAATTTGCCGCAAAGCAGTCATTCCTGTGCACTGTACACCACACCACTCTTCACCTGGCAGTGTACTCCATGAAGAGCACCTGAACAGTCAACTTCATACGTGTATACTTAATGAAATATTGTTATTTTTCCGCAACTGTTACGTTTTGTTAAGGCTTTCTTACTTATCACATTACTGTCTTAAATGAACATAGGATACGGCTGAATTTCTAAGACTAGTTACCTTACTATGCTACTATGCATTTCACTGCAGCCTCTGTATTTCACCTCACATACAGTTGTTTATAAATTCATTCATAGTTACTGATTCAGTCAGCTACTTTTAACGTGTCCGCTTTATCGCTATTAACACCAGATAGAAGTTCAACTATTTGGTGCGCATGCCCCCCAGGAAGAATTGTGACCGCAGAGCGAAAGACGCGCTCGGGGTTTCATTTCTATATGAACGCTATTGCCGGCCACGTGGCGTGTTGTTATTTGCACTGGAAATCGTTGCTTGCAGTGGGGCTCATCTCCGAGTTTACTTTTTTTTAAACTAACCCTCTGTGCTCTTCCATAGGAATGGGCACACATGTGGTATTTTTATTCGTAGACAGAGCGGAATTTAACTGTATGGTAGTTTTACTTCAAGTCTCACAGAGAATTTCCCTCCGCAGGTGCTTGTAACTGTTAGGATATTTGTTAAAAGTGGCCTCTGTTTGCCTTGCATTTCTGGAACATAGTCACCTTCATTCGTCCGTACTTGCCATCTGCTGGCTGTCATAAAGGACTTCTTTAAGGAGACGCACTCAACCTTAACCCCCCTCCCCCTGAATGTGGAAAATAATGCTTTCATTGTGCTAATCATTTATTCGCTGCCTATCCGCTATTTTTGCTAGGATTTAGCAGTGGCAAAACTGCTGTATTTTAACGCGATTTTGACGAGATTCGTGTATGATAATCTACACGCATCGAAAAGTTTGTCTTTTCTCAACTGAAAGGTACAAACCGGTCAATCTCTCTTTGACCACATTAAATGCCAACTAGCTTGCTTGTGTTTATTGCACTTTTCACACTAGAAGTCTTCAGTGAAAATAATAGCGAGATAGCCGTCACGCCCGTTGGCTTTTTCTTTAGGGCGGCCTGGTTTTCAAATTAGCAATGTAATACGTTACAATGTTTGATCGCACCCTTCTGTGCTGATAATTTCTCACAATAATTTGCGGCTACCGTTCTCAGAAGCTCAGCTGGGTTCTAACAGCGCTCTGGTGAACTTCAGTACTCACTGGTAAGGCTTTCTCATATTTTTAACTGAGCCCACTGCAAGCAGTTCGACCGCCAACGTACTTATTGTTCAAGCAAAGCAATCTGATCCCGTCTGTTTTGATTATCTCACTATCTAAATTTTTATTGGTTATCTCCGTTTCGAATTCTGTTCTTTCTCGTCTCCAGACATCAGAGGATGACAAGCTTATAACGGCTGAATTTCAACATGAGTACGCCACACTGATCCTTCATCTGGACGAATTGAATCGACAGTTAAGGTACCACATCGACGTTGTACTCCTGCATATAACCAAAGTACGTTTGCCAAAATGTGAAGTAGTTAGTGATGGTTTATCTTTCCTTGCTACTGTACCATGACCCGTTCCCTTCTATTGCTTTACGCAACGCCCGGTATTTTTGGTCTACATGCCCGTTTGGAAGTGTGCGTAGGCTCAGAAGTCGTCATCTTGAGCCTAAGCGTAGTCATTGTCGTCGTCACCGCCGCCGCTGCTGCAAGCATCTGGACATGTTAAAACCTGATGTTATGATGCCGACCCAAACGTCCCCTTATGCAGATGGCACGACGCCCTTAGATTTTCAAATGGGGACTGCAGATTACTGACCAGGCTGTTGGATAGAATGGATGCGCTTTGCAAATTAGTTTATATCTACACTTCGGATCGAAATCGAAAACTACTTAGTAGGCTCTTATGGCGCTGAGTCCCAGCAAACGATTGTGTTCTTTTGCACTTTGTGGGCAAACTCTATCATTCTTACTTTGAAAACTTTTCGTCATATTGTTGGCGAATTCCACTTAGACCACACACAGTTTTATTCTTGCTCCATTTTTGTCTTGAGGTGAGTTACCTTTCTGGAGATATATGCAACTTCCCATACATATCAACAATCAAGTCCATTATTTGGGCCTGGTTTCACGGAACTCGGACAGTGAATGAAGGGCCAAAGCTCAAGGCCATGTCAGTAGATATAATTCCTTGTGAAACGAGATGACAGAGCAATCGAAGAATGCTTTGTTTATAATTTTGAAATGCATTGAAATCCTATCTTTGAGATTGTAATTTTTCTTGCACATTGATATTTTGATTACCTTTGATCATTTACTTTCTGTCGCACTTCCGTTTTTTTGTAATTTAAATGCGACAACCAAATTCCCTCATTGATGGGAATTTACCCCTGGCCTCCCCAAATGCATTTACAGGACGTACACAGACCACGTTTTATGCTTCCTTCGTCCTCCGTTATAGCTTCAATACAGCTCTTCAAGCACCTCTTCAAAAATTCACAATTCGTGAATATAAGCTTTAATTCTAATTACCGCATTAACTGTCAGTTACTCATTGTGGACTCATCTTTTGCACTGGACAGTTTCATAAAGTGCAGGAAACTACGAACGGGTTTGTTTTTCGACCTTATTCTTCCTATTCGCTCAGTTGGAGTGATCTCATTAACAAGCAAAACGCATTCGCGTGTAGCCTACTAGAGTACCTAACTTGAATGCTTGGATTATTGTTTTTACTTTAGATGTAGGTTAGTGTCTCTCTCCGGTATTTGGTCCTCTCCTTCGCACTGTTTTACTGCATCTACATATCTGAACCACAAAGTGGGTTTTTAATGTATTCTTCCCTGAAACGTCTGGACGTGGGTTTTCTCTGCGGATCATATATTTTCTGTTTGTGCCATCAATGCATTTTCTGTAATCCACAGCCACCCCCACCAGTGCCTGATGGCTCTGTCTTCGAAGGCCCACCAGCCTATCCGGTTGTTGAGGCTCCGACTTCCACCGTCTCGGACTACATGACATTACTACAAAGTCGTGGTTTGACCATGAGCAGACCCTTAGCATCTGGTCAAATCCCCGTTTTCGAAGCCGACTATATTCATGATTTAACCACGTCTTCTATCAGAGCGGATTCTGACGTAATCGATGACAAAATTTAGTTTTTTTGTTATGATGTTGGTTGTGGCTTTTGATGTTAAAATATATTTGCTATTTCCCGGTTACCTTTACTGGGTTGGGAAGGGCTCTTCATATATTGTGGCGTACATTTTACCTTTTTAGATAGCCGCCGAGTATGGAATGCCTAACGCTGCCTGCCTCACGGACTGGCGAAGGAGGTGTGAGGACGAGGCTTTTGAAATGGTAAATCGCCTCAAAACGGCCCAGGTACTTTTCCTTGATATTTATAGTATATCTATCAGACGGTCTTATGTTTCCTTTTGGCATTCCATAGAAGTAATATTAAGTCAATACAGTAAATGTGAGGGAATTTTGGTTGAAATGGCATTTTGAAGTTCTTGTCCTTCATTTTGCATGTACACATACAGCTTTTTCTCCTTTTGCCTTTAGGGTCGTGCTATCATTGAGGAGTCCAAATCTGTTCTTATAGCGAAACTCACCTCCATTCTCACTCTCCTGACGGTAAATTTCCCTTCATGCTGCCAGGGCCCCACTAACGTGCCTTTATTTTAGCATTTGCATGATGACAAGATGACAAACGACAAACTCAGCTGTATTGAAGAGGTGTTCGCGGATATTCGGCAAAGGCTGCACCCGAACAATCTAAAGTAAAGTGTTTTGCCCGTTAAATTTGTGTTTTCCTGCTTTAGATGCTTTGAACAGAGTGTGGAGCAGCTAATTTCACATATCGTGCTCAATCTTTCTCCGAGTATTTTGGCCGTGCAGCCGACAGCCGCAAGCGGCCAAAACAGTTATTCCAGACATCCAAATTCATGAGGCTCCCGCACCTACAGATTTATACGGCTCAAGATCTCCACATTCCTGTTTTTTGCCTCAGTGCAGTTTAGTTATTCTTTTTTGCTTTTATTTGGGACCCCTACCCCCCATATTAATGTCCGTTTGTCTACTCATTTCTGAGGTGACTTTGACTGTGCTGTGGGCTAGCTAGTCTCGATGGCGACCACGAGACCTGCCTTTTGGACATGCATTTATACTGTACACACTTCTCGTTCTTCGGGTCAAACTAATATATATATATATATATATATATATATATATAT